GAGTACAATGAATACGCATCGTACTTCACCTAAATCCACCAGTTATTAACATTTTACCATATTAACTTCAGTTCTCTCCCTCCTTTCTCCTTTCTACACACACACACACACACACACACACACACACACACACACTTCCCCACTCTCAAAGTATTGGTTTTGCGGAACCCCACTTCCCTCCGGGAGCGGGACTCATTTCTGCCTGGGAAAATGGCCCGACACTGCCCCCATGTGGTGACTCGGAGCATTGCAACCAAGGCTCCTATAAGTCAGACGGGCGGAACCAGGGGGCGCAAGTACCAAGTGTGCGGAACCACTGGCCCCAAGTGTTGGCAATCTTTAGCAGACACGGTAGCGGAACTATGTTTCCGCCCCGAACTGGAATTTGCTGGTCCTTTGCCGGGAAGCCCAGCATGTTTGCTCATCCGGTGAAGAAGCCGCCTTCTCGGATCTCCAGGTGAAATGCAATGGTTTCTTTTTTTTGGGTGAGAAAGTGGCTGAAGCTCAACCAGAGGCTGAGGGGTCACCCAGGGTGAGCCACGTGCTGGGGACGGAGGGAGGGAGTGGGGGAGCCCGTGACCGCGGGAGCCCAGGACTGACTCTGTCCTGGGCATCCAGACACTTCTGTAGGAAGGGGCATAGCTGGTGGGTTTTGAAGGTTGAATACAAGTTTGCTAAGAGAAGAGAAAGACGCTTACGATGCCCACGCTCGTCTTTGGTTTCAGACTGTCCTTGCGGTGGCCTTCTGGGCCCAGGGGACAAAGACGTTTTGATCTTTGTCTGATAAGAAAGCCGGGACTCGGAGAGAAGAAATGAAATCTGCTGTGCAGAGCGGTCTTTGTTGGTGCCAAGTGGTGAACCAGCCCTGCTCTTTCTCTCCTCTGTGCTCTTGCACCCAAAGTTGGAATAACTTCTTCCTCTCTAAACACTCCTGACAGACTCCTACTCATCCCTCAAAACCCAGCTCAAATTCTAGGCCCCTACCCTCAAATCTGAGAATGTGGGCCCCCAGCCCCTCCTTCCTCAGACCCAGGGGTCTAGGCCCCCAGCCCCTCCTCCCTCAGACCCAGGGGCCCAGGCCTCCAGCCCCTCCTCCCTCAGACCCAGGAGTCCAGGCCCCCAGCCCCTCCTCCCTCAGACCCAGGAGGGCGAGGGGGGCGGGGGATCCGGGGGGCCCGGGGGGCCGCCGTCCAGCCAGGTGGGCAGCAGCGTCATGCAGACCTTCAGCACCGAGGCCAGCACGTTGAGAAACAGCAGGAAGCGCAGCAGCAAGAAGTAGGACTCGGTGCCCGCGCCAAACTGGCCTACAGGGGGCGGCAGGAGGCCCGGGTCCTTGCTGAGTCAGGATTCCGGCTCCTCCTCCCTCAGACCCTGGAGCCCAGGCCCCCAGCCCCTCCTCCCTCAGTCCCTCCTCCCTCAGACCCAGAGGCCTGGCCCTGGGACAGAGCCCCCCGCGGTGTTGGCACAGAGCTGGCTATGCTGATCCATTTATTAAGTCTCCGAGGCCAGAGTCATGGTCGGGGCAGAGGCCGGGCTCTTGGATTAAGCTGTCCTGTTTCTTCGCTTCCTCATCGCTGAGCCTAAGAGAGGAGGAGACACAGACGTGCAGGGATGTGGGAGAGGGGAGGCCAGGACGCTGGCACAGGGACGCTGACAGAGCCGCCCACCTCCGCCCCCCCTCTGCCCCGTGCCCCCCGCGCTCACCTTGTTGAAGAAGTAGATGGAGGCCAGGATAGTGAATACGGCGATGGCCAGTGTCACGTTCTGTGGGGACGGGGAGGGCGAGGGGGAGGTCAGGACCCAGCCCCTCCCGCCCCTGCCCGCCCTCCCTGTCCCACCTGACCCGCCCTCACTTCTTGGAAGTTCATGGCCATGAGCCCTCTGGGCAAGGTCACTTGACCTCCTTCTCCCTCTGCTGCTCTTGGGCCTCTGGGGCAGAGAGGGGAGGCCAGCCAGTCACCAGAACCTGAGAGGGTTGTCCGGGAGACCAGAATGGTAGCCGTGGTGATGGGGAAGGGCATTCTGGGTAGAGGGGACACTGGGGCAGAGGCCTGGGGGCCAGGAATGTCCTGTGGGGGCCCGGCTGGTGTGGCTCAGTGGTTGAGTGTCAACCTCTGAACCAGGAGGTCGCGGTTTGATTCCCGGTCAAGGGCACACGCCCGGGATTGCGGGCTCGATCCCCGGTGTGGGGTGTGCAGGAGGCAGCGGGTCAATGACTCTCTCTCATCATGGATGCTTCTGTCTCTCTCTCCCTCTCCCTTCCTCTCTGATATCAAGCAAGAATATTGAAAATAAAATGCCCCATGGGGTAGCTGAGCTTGGGACCAGGACATTTGAGATAAGAGAGTCCAAACCCAACACCACCCCGAGGACTTTGTCCCAATTCACTGGAGGGGGCTGGGGAACCACAGAGGGCTGAGGGGGGCAGGTCAAGCGTGGGCACGGGAGGAGCTGTGGGTCCGGGAGGAGCTGTGGGTCCGGGAGGAGCTGTGGGTCTGGCAGGCGCTGTGGGTCCGGTAGGCGCTGTGGCCTGAGCAGTGAGGGGCTATGCTTCTTTCTCCAGCGCGTCTGCCAGACGCAGATCGCAGGTCGGGAGGTGCCACAGAGGCCTGGGCTGGCCTTCAGAGCCCGGTGGCGTTTAGGGGCTGGAGCGGCCGTCACAAGGGCAGAAACCAGCCGTGGCGGCGGCTTCCCCAACTCTGGCCACAGGGCCGAGCCATGGCTCCCACAGCCCCTCTTCCTCCCGCTCTGCGTCCTCCTGCTGTTTTGCAGACACCTAACTCTATTTGTGTCCCTCACGCCCTTAGAACGGACCTCCAGGTGACCGGAAACACAGAGGAGGGAGGGACCTGGGCAGTCCATCTCCTACCCATGGGCCCGTGTCTGCGAATCTGTCTGCTCACAAAGCTATTTCCAAGCCCCGAATGAATGCCATGGCGTTGTCAGGGCATTTGTGGAGATATATCCACACCTACACCTACATCTACGTCTATGTCCACGTCCATGTCGACATCCACAATCACATCCACATCTATCTATATATCTATATCTATCTCTATATCTATCTATCTATATATCTATATCTATGTCTGTATCTATGTCTATGTCTATATCTATATCTATCTATATCTATATCTATCTATATCTATCTATCTCTATCTCTATCTCTCTATCTCTATATCTATATCCATATCCATATCTACATCTGTATCTGTATTTATATGTCTATATCTTTTTTAAAAATATGTTTTTATCAATTTCAGAGAGGAATGGACAGAGTAAGAGAGATAGAAACATCAATGATGAGAATCATTGATCAGCTGCCTCTGCAAGCCCCTTACTGGGGATGTGCCCGCAACCAGGCATGTGCCCTTGACTGGAATCGAACCTGGGACCCTTCAGTCTGCAGGCCCAATGCTCTACCCACTGAGCCAAATCAGCTAGGGCTATATCTATATCTATATCTTCTATATCTATTTCTATATCTACATCTACATCTACACCTACACCTGTATGTGTATCTGTACCTGTATCTATACCTATATATCTATATCTATATCTATATCTATATCTATATCTATATCTATATCTATCTATATCTATATCTATATCTATATCTCTACATCTACATCAAATATATATATATATGGTGTCACCCCCAAATGTATACAATCACTTTGCAGAGTTCTAAAGGCAGTGGTTATTAAAACACATTTCAAAATCATTACAGATTGTCCACACGGAGCGATCAGCGGTCCCAGTGGATACATTTGTGGGACACCCCGCACGTAGGTGTAAATGCCACGATGCTTTTCCCCTCGAAGCAGCGATCAGTACCTGCCAATCAGTGTCCCCAGCGGCTTCCCTCAGCACCGCCGCTGGCAAGGCCAGGCTCCGCTGGGAACCTACGCGTCAGAGCGCCAACCGGAAAATTCCAGGAGGCGAGGCATCCCACAGGGCGAGCCGCACACAGAGCAGACAGAGCCCCGAAGGCAAGTGGACTTTCTATTTTTAAAAACCCCTAAGAGACACATGACCAGAACGGGCGACCTGAACGGGGTCCTGCTTGGACAGAGCAGCCAGAAATGATGTTTGCGGGGGAAATCGCAGACATTCGAGAGGAGAGGGGGCCTGAGAGAGGAGGAGACATTTGCCCAAAAGTGCAAGTGACAGAACGCACACCCGGTCTGACCTCGTGTGGGGGAAAAGGGTGCGTACGAAGCCAATGCCTGAGCCGTCGGAACGGGTCTCCTGTCCCCGTCCCAGCAGAAAGCGGCCGGCACAACCCCCAGGGGTTTAACTGGAGCGAGTTTAATGCAGGGACGGTGCTCAGGGGGGAGCACGG